GAAATCCTAGTACTGTGTGGGATAGTCTTTCAGCTTTGAAAAACACAGTGATCGCACCCTGAATACGTGCTTACTGCATATTTTGATGATGAATCAATACGTGTTGTCAAGACCTTTTTTGGTTTTCTGATATAGAAGCAGAAATAATCATATGGATCAGAGAAAAACAGTATTTCTAAAAATTTACATATTCACCAGTTAAAATGGCAGTGGAATAGTCTGCTAAATGAGTACATTGGACTGTTTATTCTTAGTTTCTGTACATCCTTTTATTGTATTGGAAAAATGTCTTAAAAAATTTCAGAGGAAAATCATATGAATTCTTTTGAGATAACTTTGATCTTATGTAGGTTATATGTAGAAAAAAATGAAAACTCATTAAGTTATGCCTGAGTAAATATTTTGTTCAGAAATTAGTTGAACTAATGAAATAGTCTTTTTCTTAACCAGGAAAAAAAGAAGAACTCTTAAATACTACAAATATTGCCACCAAGCTTTGCATTCTATAAGTCTCTATCTTTCTTTACATAATTTTACTCCCTCATCAAAAAACAAAAAAAAAAGATCCACTTCTACTGTGCTTTACTCCTAAAGGTAAGAATTTTTTTTAAAAAAGAAGTATAGCATCAATTTACTGTTAAATGTATTACAGAAGCAAAATGTTGAAATGGTGCAATGGTATGTTGGAAGCATTTAATTTTGATAGGCATGATGTATAGCTAGGGAAGTAAATGTACTCAAATAATTATGTTGTCTTTGAAAGACTAGGTAATTTAAAAGTAGATTATCCAATGAGACTGAAGTAGTAGTTTTCAAATTTTCAGGAAGTAATTAAACAAGCAGAGGGTCTCTCTTTTTTACTGGCCATTTCTGGATTACATAGGGATTATGAAGAGAGACAAGAAAAATGACAGAGCAGGCTAAATAGCACATCAAACTTCCCTTGAAGAAAGCTTTTTTTTTTTTCCCCTTAGTGGCTTTCTGAATCACAAATAAGTTAGGTAATGTTTTGTGATATTTTTGGTGCAGGTATCTGAGAAAACAAGCCCTTTAGAAAAGCAGGAGACACCATAGACAACTTATTTTTTTAATACCTCTCAATGAAATATGTGTTACCTCAAAAGACTACTTCCCTGTTTAGAGTTTAGGATTTTTTTTCTCCTTTTTCTTGTTGTTGTTGTTGGTGGTTTGATTTGGTTTACTATAAGGTTTTTGTTTAGACCTCGGCTCCTCTGGTTGGCTGCCACCTGGCACTCTGCCTTTTCTTTCCAAAAGTAGGGCCATGATTGCTTCTCCAGGTGCTGTTGATGCTGCCTGAGACTTCAGACAGCTCCACACCCCTCAGAGAGGACCTCAGTCTTTGTCTAATGAGCCCCACTTCATAATGCTCTGTTTTTTTCAATTTGCATACTGCAACATGAAATAGCTACCTCTGGGTTTCTCAGCAGTAATATGTCAGGTAATGAGCTTTGGTCTCAGTTTCCCTGGCTAAGATATTTCAGTGTCTGCCCTTTGAAGCAGAAAGAAAGAGTCCAGAGTGGGGATGCAGTTAGATGACCAAAAAACACCCACGGGACAGTGGAAACAGGGAGGGCAGGGCTGTGTCTTTTTGTTTTGTAAATTCTTATGTAGCCATCTTAGGAATCAACCCTCCAGTATCTAGGTAATAAGTGCTGTATCAAATCAAGAGGTTTTCTGACTTCAGGAAGATGAGAAAAATGAGTCTCCAGCCATTAAAATTGCTTTCATGCTTTCTCAAATTTTCGTCCGTCTTTCTCTATGTATTTCAGTAAAACAAATGCAAGAGGAGAAATCACAACAGTAGCATCCCAGAAGGTGAGAAAGTAGATCAGATCACTGCAGCAGGTTTCTTGGAGAAATAGGCAGTAAAAACCACTCCTGACCTTGCATGAGACTTTGGGAAACCTCCTGTAGTGCCCTGCGTCCAGATTCACCAACACAAAGCAGTAAGGGACCACCTGGGACCACTTGAGGCCAATCTGACTGGCTCTCAGAAAAATGGGAGAGAAATCTAAGTATTTTGCATAGCCAGACTGACACTACAATTGCCTACAAACAGTCACTTCTCTCTTGACTTTTTCCTGAGGCATGAAATTTCTCCTGTGAGCATTCTGCTGACCTTGCCCTTTTCAGTTGCCTAAAGAGTTAATTCTCACCCACACCAATCAGTGTTTCAGCCACTGTTTCCCCTAGTGCTAGGGCTAGTGTGGAAACTTTCCATATTGACAACAGAGTCATAATGCAAGATTTCTCTCTAAGACATAAGGATTTATATGTGTTTACCTTCTCCGTTCACTGCTTTAAACTGCAGGATGTAGACTCCTGATTAATGTTGCTAATTACTGAACAATTGCTGCTGTGCTCCCTTAGGAGAACTGAAAGTCACTGTTGGGATCTCTCAGAGTCTACAGTTGCCTATGCAGAAAATAATCTGATAACATTTCCATAAATAAACTTTATAAGTTAACTGTAAATTAAATTTACACTTTCATTTTAAAAGTGAGAATTTGAGAAACTGAGCAAGAATAATATTTTTTCAGGTTTTTTTAACAGTAACCTTAAATATTTTTGGCTCCACACCTCATGAATGGTTACATTTTTATTTAAATTACCTTATTTATTATTATTTTATCAGCTTTGTATTTCTACATGAAAACCGTATTTTCAGAACACTGTATCCGGAGCTGGAAAATGGAGATAGTAGGAAATTATGACAGTAGATGAATGTGATAGTTATTTTTTTAAGACTCTACAATCACAGATGCAATGGCCTGGAGTAATCTGAGAGGCCATTGCTTTTCTGCAGTTGCTCCATCTGATTAGCAGGGTATGCATGACACTAAATAGTGTTGATGACACTAAACAGGGCCTTTTCAGTCTCTCCATTCCTGGTAAAACCAGATATGCACCTGCACATCAAGAATATTGCACACCAGTTTTAAGACACTTCTGACTGCATCCATAATGTACAGGACAGGTATTAGAAAAAGTAATGATATTTGTGCATATATGTGCACATTAATTGAGTTTTAGGACAGATCTGTTATAACAGTCTGCTTTTTTTTCTTAACTGAAACAGTTGAATGGAAATGATTGTACTCTCTTTGGAGTTATCAGACAGATGGTTTTTGGGGAAATGATGCCAGAATCAGTGTCCAGTGAGAGGCTGGCTTGTGGAGAGGCTGAATTGTTGCAAACGAGTTTGGGACCAGTGGGGAAAGTATCCTCTTGATATCCTGGAGAGGGGTACCTGAAAGGTCACGTTTTAAAAAAGAAATGGTTGAGAGTTGTTCTGCATATAGTAGTAACACTGAAAACTGCATACTGTAGATCATCAGTACACTTTCATGTGGAGAGCAATATAAGACATTAAATTGAAGTTGTTAATCACAGTTGTTATTAATTACTGTGGGTGAACAAAGAATAAGGTTGATTTGCAGTCTGAAAGCATGTGTCCAGAGTGTCCTTCAGTACTATGCACCTTCTCAAGTAAAAAAGACCTAAATTCTTCAAACAAGTGCAGTGTGAGTAAGTTCACAGTTCCAAGATGCATTATCCTCTACATTTGGGGAATTATTGGGCACGATTATAAATGTAGGGAGAAAAGCTTGTGGGCATATGTGAGACACCAAAAAGCCTTCTCTTGAGATTCGTTTTCAGTTAATTCTCATATTAGGTCAAAATCACAAAGTATCAGATTTGTCCCCAAATAATTAAATACAACTGATTTTGGAGACCCCATTTGATCCTTTGGCTTCTAGGCACAGAAACGTGTACGAATACCCTTGCAAAGTCACTTAGTTTTAAAAAAAAATCCAAAACGTGAAACCCCGTCAAACCATTATTTTAGCCCGCTAAAAAGCTGCGTTCCTTCGTTAGTCCCGTTGCATTCCTGGAGCAGCACAGACTATTTGCAGATGGGAGGGGGCGTCGAAAAGTGTTATTTTTTTTCATTGTGTTTTATTTACACCTTTCCAGCCTTGTTGCCCGTTTGCCACTGGTGCTGCAGGAGCCGCCGGCTCCCAAGCCTCCTCACCGCCACAGGTAATCCCCAACTTCACTCCCCGCAGCGGGGGCAGCTCTCCGTGCCGCTCAGCCTGTCGCCCCTGTTACTGGGCTTCTCTTTTTTTTTTTTTTTTTTTTTTTTTTTTTTTTTTTTTTTTTTTTTTTTTCCCAGAGGAGACGGCCGGGTAAAGGTAAATCTCCCGTCGCCAGCAGGGGCAAGAGGAGCCCCTGAGCTCCCCCCGTGTTCTGGCTTTCCTCTCCGTGAAGCCCTGTGTACACAAAGGGCTCACTTCTGCCTTTCAATTAGGTAACCGAGATTTATTTACTTTTACTCTTTCTCCCATCCCTACATGTATTTAGTGTCTGTAACTCCTGTCAGCCTCAGGATTGGGTGTTCTTTTAAATTTTTTTTCCCCTCCTCCCGATTAAGTTATTTATTTGCATTTCCCGGGAGGCAGATTTAAATCAAACGTCCGTGTGAGGGAGGACTCCATCCAGCCTGAAACCTACAACCAGGAGACAGACGGGGCCGGCCGCAGTGCGCGGGCGGCGGGCAGCTGAGCACTCCGGCTGAGCGCCTCATCTCGCCTCACGGGGCTGGGGCTCCCGCGGCTCTGGAGGTTCCCGAGGAGCCCCAGCTGGGTGGGAGGCTTCTTCTCAGCATGTCTGAGGGGCTCGCTGAGATCAACCTCAGTGCATACCCTCAGGGAAAAAAACAACAACCAAAAAACCCCAACACCACAGAACACAAAAAACCACTAGGGTGTTGCTGAAGAAGGATGGTTTCCCCGTGCTTAAGGGCTAAACTGGCAGGGACAGCGCTTGGCACTGGCGGGTCCTGCGAAGCTTTCCCGAAGCGCCTTATATGGTGCGGGGAGGGGGGCGCCCCGGGTACGGCTGCGAGCGCCGATCCCGAACCCAGGGGAGCGTGTGCGTGGGGGGTCGCTTTGTGTTACACACGCTTGTGTCATTCTAGGGAACAGAGGGAGAGGCCGCCGGAGGAGACGGGGGATCTCCCAGGATAGGCAGTCCCACCAGAAGGAAGAGCGATAGCATCCTTTCCGGCCACAACAGGTAAATCGTATTTGGCCACTACAGGTTGAAGTTGTGTTGTTGCTGTTGGTTTGAGCTTTTTGTTTGGATTTATGGTTTGTTTTGGGGTGGGTTTTTTTGTGTCTTCGTGGGAGGTTTTAGCACATTTTTTTTTTTCATTCTCCCTCTTTTTCCCTCCTCTCGGCGTTTTCTGAATGGCATGGACCTGACCAAGGGGAGGCGGCTATTGGCAGCCCGGGGAGCGCCGCCGCCCTGTCCCCAAGCCAGCTGTCTGTCCCACAACGGGGGGACGGAGATAACCCGGAGACGCGGAGTGCGCGTCCCGCCCGCTGCCCCTCCCTCGTCCCTCGCGCAGCTCTGCCGCAGCCCCGCGGAACTCTGCGGGCCCTTCGCTGCCAGCCACCGCGGGAAATGCCACGGGAGAAGACACTTCCCCTCTGAAGCTCTGTGCGCGACTTCCATGAAGAAATGGAAGGGAGTAAAGCCGAGGGTTTGTCTATTTGGCATTAAAACGGGGGGATAAAAACCCGCGCGGTTCGGTCCCCTGCTCCGCGCCCGGACCGCATGAGAGCTGAGCCCGTCCCTGGGGCGCGGTGGCGCGGCCCCGAGCGAGGCCTGCGGGAGCTTTTATTGCTCATAAAGGGTACTGGGGGAACGGCCAGTAATGCGATCAGGAAGGGAGGTATTAGGCAGAACAGCGCTCAGGCACTAAAAGCGCCCAAAAGCGTGCTCTCAAAGGACACTTCGGGCCAAGCAGCAGTAAAGGTTTTATTGGTAACTGAGAAGCGCCTCGCAGCCGCAGGTTTGCCATTAATGATCGCTTCGGTGGGTAAGAATTACACTGCCGGGCTGATGGCGAGACCCAGCGGGCAAAGGGCACTACGCGGTAATAGCAAGTATTTACTAAAGGAGTTACTGCCAAATGAATGCCGGGATTCAGGCTTCGACTTGCCGGATAAACTTTTTAGTAACTATGAAAGGAGGCCAATAACATTTATAGAGGAAAGAAAAATATTTGAAGTCAGAAACTTCTCTAGTAGCTGAAAATTAACTTCCGACAACAAGCTGGATTCCCCTCCTCGTTAAATCTAAGAAACTCTGTCCTTAAATTTCACCCTAAAAGATCTACTATTTTAAAAGTAACAGCACCCCGCAAGGCAATTTTCCAGCTGTAGAAGAACCTTTAAAACCAAACCAAGTGCTGCCTGTGGGCAGACGTGTATGCTTAGAGCAGTGAGAGCCGAGCATCGACAATATTTTTGTTAGGATTTTCAGGTATGCAGGGAGCACACAAATGTTATATTTTCTTTTTGATCTGCTTGTTGTCAAGTAATTAGTAAAAGGAATTACCCGCTCTGGCGCTGTGCCTTCGGGTAGCAAAGGCATTAGAACTTTAAACTTCGCATTTTCTGAAAGTCTCTGGCTAGACTGCCTCCTCCCTCAGCACCAGTCCTTTCAGGGGGGGGTTAAAATTTTAATTCAGTTCGTTATGATTATGAAGGGGTGGGTTATGTCGCTGTCTCTGCCCATTTGAAGTTAATAGACTGATTCCAGTGACTTTGCTTCTCCGGGCAAAGGCGGGGGGGAACTTTGTGGAGAAGCGCCTTCTCTGTCCCCCCCGCTGCCTCCCGGCCAGCTCTGCGGCAGGGCTGGCACGCATCGTGACACAGGTAGATAAATCAGATGGGGCGACAATCAGCGCAGCGTCCACTGTCTTTGGGAAGGTTCTCTCCTTTTGTCTTCGAAAATCTGCCACGCGAATTTCCCCAGTGGACTCCTGTATTTTAATACGCTCTGTAATGTTAACTCTACCTTAAAAAAACCCAAAAACAACAACAACAAAAAAAAACCCCAAAAAACAAACCCAAAACAAAGAAAAAAACCAACAAAAAAACAAAGGGAGAGAAGACGGCGAAGGCGCTTGTAATTAACTAATCCTTTTACCTTTTCTCAAACACGGATTTAAGCTCTAAATTTTATCCGTGCAAACGAAAACAGTAAATATTGAGGTACAGGTTCATAAAGATACCTAAATGAACACATAGCTTTAGTGTGTGCATATGTATACAAGCAGTTTTGTCATTTGTTCAGTGCACTTCCATTGAAAAAGAAGAGAGGCTGATTAAATGATTATCCTTTCATCAGATTAAAGTCCGTCTGTTATTTTTAAATCTTTAAATCCTTTCGTCAGGACTATGGCTTTATTCGAAATGATGAAATAGAGGATTTTTGCTTGTAATAGGAAGAAAAAAACAAATAAAAAAACAAACTACCCCATCCCCAAAAGATTTTCTCCACCTTCCCACCTCCAAAACAACAACAAAACACCAGAGCATCCGAGAATTTTTTAGTTTTATTTTGCTTGTATATTCAATGCAGAAACTTAACAATTACAGGGTAGAAAACCCATTTGAAAACAGTAGGGCCACGTTACGACAAAGGTCTGGCCAGCATTAATTTAGTGTTTGGAAAACAGTTGACAGCTGCGAAGGTTTCCCCCTTTCCTTCCTTTCCTTTAAAAATAAACCCCTTCAAATCCCAGACCCCATCTCGGTTTCTCTGGGTAGAGTCCCTTCTCTCTCTTTCCAGTTGCATGAAGGGGTGAATTGAAAAATCATTTAATTATTTTCATTCTAATCGCCTTAATCCCCCTTATACTAGGAGCAAATGATGATAATGGGATCCACATGGAAAAGACCCCCGAGAGAGGGGGATTAGGGCAGAATATTCTCCCTACCCTGCACCCCGGCAGGTGGAGACCGGCGGGGCGGGGCTCGCCACGGCACAGCTCGGCTCGGCTAGGCTAGGCTCTGCTCGACTCGGCTAGGCTCTGCTCGACTCCGGCGGGGTTGGGGGTTTTAACATGCAAAAAAATATTGGAGTAAGCCTTCTCAATCTGTGGGTAGCTTGTTTTTTATTATTTCATTTTTGCTCCAGGTGACACAGCTGTAAAGTGACTCGATTGTCACCCTGGGGAGACAGAGGACTCTCCTGAAACAGGGGAAGAAAAAATAAGACACCGCTCCTCCCCCCCTCCCGCGATCCCCCCGCCTCTTCGGAGCCTGAGCAACGACAAACTGATTAATCTTCCCAGGTCGCCCTCGCAATCCCCGAGGGCCGCTCCGCTTAGCCGCCATCCGCGGTCCGCGAACGTGCAAATCCCCCGACTGCGGGGGCTCCGCTGCAGCCCAGGGAGGAGGAGGAAGGGCAGGTCGCCGGCGGCACTATTTAGAACCACCGCCGCAACACTACTCCCATTTGAGGCTGCAGGAACAGAGCCAAGAGGGAGATCACCGGGCGCTTGGTTTTCTTTGGGTGTTTTCAGATCTGTACAAACACTGGGCCTGCCGGTTTTTATAAACAACTTTTGAGACGCAGTCAATCAATCATACTGGCAAGCAAACAGACCAGGAGCCTAGGATATATACAAGGCATAAACATATACATATAAATTTTGTCTTCTTTGGAGTAGTTAGGGTTTCTCTTAGAAAGGCTTATAGAAAAAAAAAATCTATCTATAAAGATTCTGACAAAGTCAGGAAATCACAGTGAAAAAGTAGGAGGTATTGTTAGGCAGTTATGTTACATTGTATGCTTTAATACTAGCAAGGAAAATACTGGAAAAGAGAAAGAAAAAAGTATCTAACCAACTTGAAAACTTAAAAAAAAATATTATGCTTACAGTCAGAGAGACAATTTCAAGAGTACGTGGCTGAAAAACATGAAACGTGGTTGTTTTAAAATACAATGCAATAGATACATCTGGAAAAGACATGAGTTTACCAGATTTGCTAGTCAGCAAAGTATTCTTTATGTTGCAGTCATTTCTAGCCTTACTTTTTAATTTGAAACATATTTGTATCCAGGGATAGGTTCTTGGGAATGCACTGTGTTGTTTTGGTTTGGTTTTTTAAATGATCTTTTGATAAGAAGAGCCCTGCACAGTATGGAGTTTGTGCCCTCTCTTTCTGAGTCTTTTGCTTGCAAAAGGATATGAGCGAACGAGGAGTCCATAGCACAAAGAATGCAACAGATCTGAACATCCCAGTAATGCAGAAAGAATAGTTAGGGTAGGAAAAGCTGATCAAGTGTCAGGACTTAAAAGAGAAGAGCTTATTCTGTGCTGGTGTAAATTAGGAGATTAACAGATATAGAGGACTTGTTGGTGCTGCAGAAACGGTGTGTTGTTCTTAATCTACCCTGCCATGATCTGAAACTGTGGCCCTTTCTGGATAGTGAGATTGAGGAAAGCCTAGGGAATGATGCTCAGAGAGGAGAAGCTGTGCTCTGGCAGAGAGCATCAAGAGAAGCTTTTCCCAACTGGTGAAACCTTCCAAACAAGCTTGTATAATTGAGGACCAGTGTCGGATTAGTTTAGGAAAGACCTTGTGACTGCATCGCTTTTATGGAAAAGAATAATTTTCTCTTTTTGAACTTATTGCATTTGTTGTGCAAGTTTTCCTACCAAGAATAAACTTGGTATTTGGTAATTTCACTCCATGGTTGTCATCTGTTAAAACAAATCCAATAAGGAGCCTAAGCCAAATACTACTCATGTCAGGAAAGTGGGTTTTGGTGCTGTCCTTCCAAGCTGACTGGGTCTTAGAGACATAAATAGTAGGGAAGTTGTTTCATTGGCTTCTCAGAAAGATGTGTATGGTCAGCAGAATAAGATCCCCCTTTTAACGACCTGTGTTTAAAATGGATTGGATTACTTGCTTGCTTAAAGGCAGTTCCATTTTCATATAACAATTTATACTTATCATCATGTAAGTGAAAGCTTTAGCAATCAAAGCTTTATTCTTGCGGACCTGAGGTATTATTTTCCACAGAAATGTATTATGGAGTCCTTTCACAGAAACTTGTCTTGATTTGTGATGTATAAGACTGACACAATGAGTGATAAATGTATTAAATGACAATTTCCAGTTAAAATACTACATGAAATACATAGTCATTAAAATAGTATCTGAAGACTCTGCAAATACCTAATAATTTTGATGTAAGTGATTTTAATGTTATGGAAAAACTGAAAGCTCACATATATTTTTATCCTCGAAGATTCAGTCTTTCCGTCTCTTCCCCCAAGAGAAATTATTATTAAGACTGATATAAGCAAGCTTTTCTGGAAAGAAAGAAAATGAAAAAGGAGGAAAGGGGAGAGAATTATACAATACACATACCTAAGAGTATAAACAACTCCACCCTTCATCCTCCAACCTGGCTTTCTTCAGCCTTTTGAGCATTTTTTCTAAAATTTGTGATATGGCAAGTGACAAATGTCTTTCCGGAAGATCTGACAATGCTACTGACTCACCAAAGACTGTTTGTGAGAAGTGCTGGCCAGAGCAGACAGGTTACTATTCATCAGCCTCTTAAAACACAAATTCTCCTTTGCTACATTATGTGGTACACCTCTACACTGAAAATTGGCTATGAAGGGAGTGAAACCAAATGGACACTTCAATCATTGCTTGAGAAGATTAGATTTTACTAAAACTGAGACGGCTTTTCTTTTAGATCAATATTCTGCCATACCTATACAGGTGGGACTCTGCTTTTTGTTTTACAGATCTCCTATGCATCACGGGCATTGAATTTTACAATTTCTCTTTTTTCTGAGGTTAAACACTTTCTGGCACTATTTGTATTAAGTATGACTTACACTACTTGTAGTAAGCATAAACACTCCAAAGAGTCAACCTGCTTTTGCTTCTCTTCTTTATTGAGAATAGATTATCCCAAAAGATTTGAGAATACTGCTATGTTTCAATTGATAACACAGTGACGTTTATCAGCTTAAACAGTGTGTTGAGACAATGGATTTGTGAGAAGGTGAGGCATTAAAGATAATTCTAAGCTTTTGCTTCTTCCAAATCTCAATAACATCCTGACTCTACTCCTTTGAGTTACTGATTTGCTTTTGACAGCAGTGGGACAACAATTTTACTAGGGTGTAACTTGTTAGCTGTCTTGTAAGGATAATGCAGATAAGCTTCTCCAAGTATTATCTCATATTCTGTGTAAAATTCTTCTTAGTTCAAGTATGTAGCGAACAACTTCTAAAATAGACTAAAGATCATCAATCAGCATTCATTAAATTAATTTGAGGATGATTTTGGAATGGATTGATATAAAACTATGATTGGCAATACGACGGATTAGTTGGAGGGGGAAACCTTCAGGCCCTGGGTGCCAGCCCATTACCTGGAAGGTGAATGCTCTTCCCCCCTGCCCCCCGCCACATGGCCTGGCAACCCTGTAAGGAGCTCACACAGACCACCAGGGAGGGAGGGACAAAAAAAGGAAGTTTATTGTGGGATAGGGGTTTATAAGGCTTTTAGGAGGGTCAAAAGGGAACCAATTACAGGTTCAGGGTCATACAGAAAAAAACAATCAGGTAAGGAGTTAACAGCCAATGGGAAGGGGTTAACAAGGACCAATGAGAAACACCTCAGGACATCTTCCCAGGACACTCCTGTATGGGAGACAATAGTCCTTCACAGGGGGTGTCCGGGGAAAAAGGGGCAATGACTTTGCAGAAAAGCAAAAGCCATTTTAAAATCTGTTTAAACCACCTTAAAAACTTCTGTTTCTATAACATTCGAGCTGTTTTCTTCTTTTTCTTCACTAGTCCATCTCTGACAGGACTTCTTCCATCCTACATATGGCAAATCCATTGCCACATGGCAACATGGGCTTCCTTTTCTGTTCCTTTTTTATAATAGAACAACTGTCTGTTCTTAGAAAATATTGATACTGAGAATACATTTTAACTGCTAATTTATCTTTTATCCGTTATTTATCCACTGTTAAGAAATTACAGAGAACACTTTATATTTTAAAAATAACAAAACTACATGCAGTCTATTTACTAATTTGGTGGAAGAGGAGTAGACTGCAATGGAAGACTGCTCAGCCTCCCTGTGGATAGCTGTGGAGAGGTGAAGAGGTGTTGGGCAGGGCAGGAAGGCTGTTATGTTACTGCAGGAAAGAGGGAGGATGAGGTCTGAACAAGTCTGGGACCAGGTTTCCTCTTACAAAAACCACTAATCTCACCTCTTTAAAACGTCTGTCTTCATCTGCATTAAAACCAACAACATTTTAGTTTTAATGAAAAATCTTATCAAAGAACATTTCTTCCCTTGGCTCTTTCTGTTTTACTAACTTGAATCTTTAGACTCAGATCATAAATCTTGATTTATGTTCGACAATTTATGATTTTAAATGAAATCTATCTTATATAGGAAATCAGAACGTCAGTCTATGTACCATTTAAAACTCCAAATTAGGCTTGTAAGTGCTGTGATTTTCAGTATATGTCATGCAGCCCTATGTGCACTGTGAACACTTAATAGCAAGAAAGGAAAATCATATACTAATGTATTTACTTTTAAAAAGTTGAAAAAGAATTTAACAAAAGCTGATTACTAATCATGTGACTTCCATATTTTATTACATATCTAAAGCTTATATATAGAGAAAAAAGAGTCAAGCATTTTTATTATATTTTTGCAGTGATAAATGAACGTTGAGTATTTATTCTAAATTTCTCTGCTATGCCAAGGGAAAAACCAAACCAAACCAAAAAAAGTCCAGCTTTTGCTAGTACAAAATCAGAAATGGCACTGTCAGACTTGACAGCATGGAGCAGTAGCAAATACATTTATTGATATAAATTCCTAAGTGGAATATAGAAACAAGAATTACACTTAATGTAAAAAAATACATCATCTTGATTTTGACTAAGAAGCACACTGAGAGATGCACTTCTCCAGCACTGCTAATGCAGTTCTGTGATTTTCTTGCTTGTTTTTTTACGCAGGTGATTTATGCTGCCTGAAGGCAAGTAAGCTTCAGAAGTTCTCCAGTTATAAAAATATATTTCAATTCAATTGTGTTGCATGTAATGAAGACAATTAGTCCGAATTCTGGATAGGAAGACAGGGAAACTGCAGTTGTGAAAATAGTTTTTTTAACACACAAGAAATAGCTAAGATAAAAGTCATGCAAAGAATAAGTGTGCCATTGTGGCTCATAAGGAATATGTTCTGCCTAGTGTAGTAGAGCAGTACTAAGTCTTTTTCACCATCTACATCACTGTGAAGCCTCACAGGATTTTTGGCCCGCTGACTTATCTGATAGAACTGGTGTACAAAGGGGTCCACAGGAGTGAATGCAAGGTCAGTTTGTTGATACAACGTTATGTGACTGCAGAAAGACTTTTGCAGCACAGGCAGGAATGTGTTTCCTTGGAAGGGGAAGGCTGCTTTTGAAATTAAAATAGTCTTTTCAGTTTTTGTGTATTTCATGTGTTAAGGAGAACATAATGCTCAAGCTGTAGACCAACAGAACAAATTTCCACAAGGAAAGCAAAAAAGGCAAATTGTAAATAATTTTCAATATCTACCTTACATTTCAAAATAATTACTCATTTTCTTACGTTATGGTCCTGTATGAAAAGTATTGTGAACTTTTCAGATTCTGGCACACATGTGAACACAGATGCATTTCCCTTCAGTCCAACAGAGCATTCCTAGCAACCTATTGGCGTGTGTAGTGCTCAAAGGATGAGATCCTCCTAATGAAATGTAGATGGTCTTTCTCCAGAAAAACGTAGCTAAACAAGTTTTGATATATATTTTTCACTGTTAAAGAATTTCTCCTCTGCATGGATTATAGTATTTTCCATAAGGTTAATAATAAAGGCTGTGCTTGCTCTGGTATTCACTGTCAAAAACAGACTATTGAAGTAACGAATGAGGTTCACTTCCTCAGAATGTGTAAATGTCCCAATTTACAGTTAAACTTTCAACAGCTGAAAGACAATACCATTGACATGTATCTGGCACTAGTTACTCAGGTTTATTTTTTCCTGGAAAGCAGTTTAGGGCGACAGAGTGGCGTCCGGGTTTCCCAGGTTGTTGTGCTGACAAACTGCAGTGGTGGTAAAGGCAGGGAGTCTGACAAAATCTCATTAATCATTTTAAATTAAATCCAACATTCCTCTCCAACACTGCCAAGAAGAAAGCTAACTTTTACAAATGAATACTCTCTCTGAAAAGAACTGTTATCCTGACCATGTTGCTTTCACATAAATAAGCTTGATTTTTTTTTAGGTACACATACTCTATTAATAAGCAGCATTTTTAAGCTTAAAGAATAATGCATTTGTTGCATTATTAGGAATCTGAAAAATACTTTTTGCTCATTTTCTGTATTAGATACTATGAGTGAACCACATAGCTGAAAATTAGAGCCTCTTCCTTCTTTCAATGAATTGCAGTTTTTTGCTTTTGTAAAATTGTAAATACAGAAAGTTCCTTTTTAATTTAAGTAAAACGGAAACGGAAATATTCTATGTAAAGATTTTCTAATCCATCTTTTCTCTAAGCCTATTTATATGAGTAAGAAAGGAAAACTGCAAATCTACTAACATTATGCCAGCAAAAACAGAGGTGATGAAGGAGCAATGTGATCTCTTTTAAGT